GAACATGTACCCAAAGACATTTTCAGAAATAGCTTCCCCAGAGATCTCAAAGAATGAAATGCAAATACCATCTCTCTTACTGAGTATACATGGGGAAAAGCCCTGGATTGGGAATAATTCCTAACTTTTGTGGGTCTCAGTTTTCTCATTGGCAAAATTGTGTTGGACTAAATAACTCTGAGATCCTTTCTAGCTCTAAATGTGTCATCTTAAATAATTTCATATGAATTCCAGTCCTTAGATGTTGTAGCATGATAATGTGGAAAGAACATTGACTCTACAGTCAGAGGACCTGTTTCAAATCCTTCCTCTGGTTCTTATTATCTGATTCTGGATAAATGTCCTTAACGCCCCTGGGCTTCATTTTCCTCATCTGTCAAATTAGGGAGTTGTACTAGATGGCTGGCCTCTGAATTTCCTTCTAGTTTTACATTCACAATCCTGTCATCTGCCATTCACTAGATGTGTTACCTTGGACAAGTCAGTTTTCTTCTCTATTAGTTGTCTTATTTGTAAAATGAAAAAGTTGTTGTGTAGTAGAGAATTTCTAATTACCTTGCAATCTTTTCTCTGGCTCCTATGATTCATTTCAGTCAGCTGATGCTATAATCACTGGCAGAGATATAAACAGTATTGACTGGTACAATTTATTCAAAAGAGAATTTTCTTTTAATAGGAGAGGAAGACTGGGCGTAAGGCCATTCTTCTTTCTGAGAAACTAACATAGTATGCTTATGATTCTAAAATTATCTGGTTGAAAACTTTAAAAAGCATTTAAACTTTTTCTATCATGTTTCTTTCCTTACCATCACCACCCTCCCCCCTACAAAAAAAAAAAACAAAACAAAACATTTAGGATCACAGTAGTAGTTTTAAAATAAAGCCAAACTCATTTGTGCATGATTTTCATGACCATTAAATATTAGAGTAAGCTTAATATTTTCAGTAGATTTGAAATACTTTTAAATTTAACTTTTTATTTATCACTCTTTGCATTTCAGCCACCAACTACACAACTAAGTCTCGAAGAGCAAGTCTTTAATTTTGTACATTTCAGAGTTCAGATTCAAAAGTCATAGATTACCTCTAATGTCTTAATTCATATGCTTTTACTTCTCTGTTGTTTGTGATAAGCAAATTCTATAAAGCAATAGACCTAAAAATCTATAGGGTCCAACAGTTGGGTCTGAAGTAGAAAATGTTGAAGGTTAGCGAAGAGATTTGAAAAATCATGTATTTGGTATTCTTGAATTTCTTAGTTTCTTAAAAACAATTTCCTCTAAGAGTTCCTTAGCTAAGAAATGGTGTGGCTTTCCCTTGTCTGGTTTCCAGTCATAAGTCACTTTACTTAAGTAAAGGAATTTTAAAGAGAATTGAGAAAAAATTAACATTAAAATTTAAATAATATAAGCCACTGAAAGGAATAAAAAAGATCAAAAACTAAAGTGAGGATGATAGTAATGATAGCTGATATTTTATAGGGTTTTAAGCAAAGCGTTTTCTTCATAATAACAGAGTGAGGCAGGTAGTGTAAGTATTATCTCCATTGTACAGGTGAGAAAACAGAGTGAAACAGGTCTGACCTGTAATGGGTCAGAAAGTTAGTGGGAGCTGAAACTCAAACCCATGTCTGCTGACAGCAAAAATCAGTGCTCTTACTATTCATTGACTGAATTTTGTCTGAATTGATTACATCATTGTGGGGAGAAATCTTTTTATAAATATATCATGTTTTTAATGTGAAAATAATTCTAGACAGAATTATGTTTCTATTTTGCTAATGGAGTTTTTTTCATTCATAAAAGAGTCACAAAAAATGATACATAAACAAGTCAGTTTGTTCTTAAAATAGGTTATTGGATTTGTGACTGTGTACATTTATAGCTTCCTTCTTTTAGCCAAATGGTTCAGGTTTCACTTTGACAAGAGTTATTGCCTTAATTCATATTTTTGTCATATTTATTGTTTCACTTTGACAAGAGTTATTGCCTTAATTCATATTTTTGTCATATTTATTGTTTAAGCAGAGAACTTAAATGTATCTTGGTACCTGTTTTACAAATGCCCTTTACTTCAAAAAAAAAAAAGGCAAATTATTCCTGCATAAGTATTCTGTGGAATGAGACTCTTCTAAAATGCCTTTTGATGTAATTCTATTAACAGCCCAAATAATATAAGAACTTCATTTTAGGGCCACAAAATGAAATACCTTTTGAAAAATTATCAGGTTTTTGTTATCTCTAAACATATCAGACGAGTGTTTTCTCTTAGCAATCTTATCTGAGATTAGGCCTTAAATGAAAATGACTTTGACCATCTCCTGGTCCTGCCCTATTCTTTAATGGATGTTTATCAAAATGATATCACATGTTAATGGGTGCTGTTCACATTCTAAAAAAACCTAGAACTTGGATGGAAATATGTGATCAAAGTAATAGGATGGTATAACATAGTGCAATTCTGCCAGTTTTGAATTTGGGCAAGAATGATAACATGAAAAGCTGCCACAAGCAAGGATGTTATTTCTAAGCTTGGCAACGTGCTTTCTTCACAACACCCTCCTTTGTATTCTTTCGGAATCTACCATAGTGTCTCCCATTCAATAAATATTTGTTTAATAGTTCCATCTAAAACTTTAATTTTTGCATTTTGAATAACCTTTAACTTAAGGACCCAAATTTAGCCAGCTATCTAAGAACAGGGCTTATGCACATATCGTCCAGCTTGACATACCATTGTCTGGTATGCCTTTATTCTATACTTGTGACTTTCCCCTCATAAATAAGTTTGGACGTAGTTGTTCATTATGATTGTGATTAACATAGCATGGTAGTCTTCTTAATATCTTCTATCCAGTGTTTAGCAAAATGCTTATGAATTTATGTTTTGTTAGAAGTTGTCCAGTGCATTGTATGCTTATGTGTTAGATGCAGTAGGGGCTTTCATTAAACAGCAGGATATTATTAGGCATAGCATGACAAGTCTTTATAGTTATCTGCCTTGTTTAAACTGGACCCACAAGCAGACTGCAGACTAAAAGGGTGAGCAATGAATTGAGAGTTGATGGCAGGCCCATAGAGGTCCTAAGGCTCAGGTGGTTGTCAGCCATAAGTTTAGCTGAGCTCTTTCAGTAATTTGTCACGCCTTGGTCTGCTCCTGCTGCGCCAGCACGTGCCAGCTTAGTGTCAGAGTGCCTGTTCGCCAGACGGCCACTCAGGCCTAACATCCTGCTGTTAACAGGACCAGCGGCTTGCTGTGGCAGTATGGAATACAGAGCCTTGGCAACAGCCAAGTACTGTGCAGAATAAGCATGTTCATAATGAGATGTGAATGGCATCAGTCAGTCCCTTTAGAATAGGGCCTAAGCGTGTGCCTCCTCTCTTAGGAAGTTTGGCAGCCTATTCATTAACAAGAGTCATCAGGAGTTCAGCCTGCGAGAGCGAAACAGCACCACTTTCCAAATACTTGGACTGTCAGGACTGTTGTAGGGTATAGTTTTGACAAACCCATGATGCATCATGAGTTACTAGTTTTGCAGTCCTCAGAATTAATTTTCTTTCCTTGAAGTTTCATAAAGATAGCTTATAGGCAAATTCTAGTATGCTTGTATATCTCTGGATAGTGTGAAAATCTTTCTCCAAATAGTTGAGTAAAAGCAGACATCTGTGTTTAGAAATATCAATACATACACTTTATCCTTCCCAAAGAAATTTTAAAATATCTACCTCTGTTTTAAATGTGAGGTATTTTATTTAGGTCATATTTTCTATTAACATCTAGAAAAAAGATTTTGTTTTTCGAACCAGATACCTCAAAAATATGAGTCATTAATTCCATTTTTCTCCTTACTAACATGAAAATTATAATTTGGTAGTTATCAAACCTTTTTTCTTCCTATAATATTAGAATGTTTTTCAAGATAACTAAAGCATAAGGAGTTTTGTGGGTAGTTTGGGGTTATTTCAGCCATTGCTTTCTTACTGCTAATGAGGAAAGAGGAATGAGATGTCATACTGACTTGAAGTGTTAATTCATAAAGTCGTATGTGAGGTTCTTCCATCCATTGTAGAATTGTTTCAGACGTTATCCTGTTATTGGAAGTGCATGATTCACCTTCTGAGAAAACAGAAGCTGCACACAAAAGGAAAAGATTTGCTTTCTACCCTGTGAAAAGCTGCCACAAGCAGGGGTCCTATTAAGACAGCTGGAAAGTTGCTTCAGCTTGTTACGCTTGTAAGTTTTATTGGTGACTGGTTTTTGATTACACATTTGAATGCTGTGTGTTCCCAGTTGCAGTTTTAATTAAAAGGCAATAGTCTTTTTTTTTAATTGCTTTGTAGCCTGCATTTCCTAGGTTGAACTACATATAAGGTATTATTTTCTAGTACTCATAGCTTATGTTAGCTATCACTTCTGGAGCAGTTTATATACATAAAATCTTGCCTTGATCTAGAACTTTCTCAGTTATGTGTATTTTCTTAATTATAAAAAAGATCCATTATCCAGAGTGCTTGAAGTATATGAAAAGACTGAAGATTATCTGGAAGTTACTGTGTATTGAATGAAATAAAAATTCTAGTGCATATAAACACTATACCAATACTCCTAAATTTATAATATTTTGCTTATTTAAAAATATATTATTTGCAGTGCTTTTTTCATTTATATGAATTTTAACAATAAGGGTGTTTTTTATTTGTTTTATTAATGAGGCTGGTGATGAAACAACCATCAAAATGCTGTAGAAACTTAACACAAAATCAAAATCACAAAATCAAAACGTTATTGCAACTCATAACATTTAGCTCTTCCTGACAGTCATTTCAACCCCACAGCTCTATAGAATTTGGAGGAGATCTTTTCCACATTAAAAAGATATGTTTGCATATTTGTGTTTCACAGATGATTTTAAATAACAAACTGTTAACATTCTTCTGCATTTGGTAGTAAGTAGCATATTTGCTCTGTCCATGCACTTGTTCCTTAACTGATGGTTGCAGTTATGAAGAACGAGCTCTGTATCTTGAAGCAATAATCCAGAATCACAGAGAAGTAATGACATTTGAGGATTTCGCAGCTCAAGTCTTTTCACCCTCTCCTAGTTACTCCCTCAGTGGAACGGGTGAGTGTCTACATTATTCTTCTCTTTAACACGAAGAAGCATTTCAGCAGCAGATGTACACCTGTTTTTTACAGATAAATGCTTGCAAATTTAAGAAGGGCATTCTCTCTCTGAATAAACTAATGAATATCAAAAGGAATGATGACATTCATTTTAATTTGTTTTGCATCAGAGCTGTTCACTCAGTTCCTTTCTTCAGCTATCCTGTTAACCTCCAAATCTAGCAAGGTTAATGAACTTTTTCTCAGTAATGTGCTCCAGTTCATTCAGGAGTGTGGGTTTCTTGCTGAGCTGGGAATATGTTGTTCAAAAGCTATGCCTGAATCAGTGCTTACTTATCGAAAAATAGTTCCTCACAGTAGAAGCCGTTGCTACTAATGCTAAATGGGGATTATACTGCTGAGATACCAGGGTCAGGGATTAATGCAGAAGAAATCTAAGGATAGTGTTCCTTTGACCAATCATAACAGCAGTGCAGTGTGCTAACATTTTCTCTGGAGTGGTTTCTATGCATATGGCCAAACTACAGTCTCTAGTAGCACCTGGTATGGAACCTTGTTTGGAAACTCTCTTAGAAACATTTCTCCTATCAAGCTGGTTGACATTTGGAGAAATTTCTGTGACTCCATTCCTTGTTTGACATGATAGTTTTTTTAGATTTCCAAAGTTGAAAAGAAAACTGTACTGCTACTTATTATTGGTGTTAGCACTAAGAGCTTTTGTTTTAAAGGGCTGCATTTAATTGGGTTAGTAATTTCTGTACATCAGTACAGAAAAAAATCACTCATCAGAGAGATTTAGTGTGTATTGAAATTCTCAGTAAGGAGCCCCCTTTAATTTGGACTGCTTTACACACAACTGTTAGAGTGCTTAATAGATTTCTAACATGTATAAATTGTTTCAAAACACTGGCTTTATTTCTCTTACTCTGACTTGTTAACAAATATCTTACATCCACAGTGAAGAAAGAAATTAAATTCAGTGAAATAAATCACTTACAAATAAAATCAGCCATGCATCATTGTTTAACATTACTGGCTTCAATCCTTGTGCTTTCAGAGCTTTGTTAGGAGATAAGAGGTATATATGCATGCGCTCGTATTGGTAGCCAGTAGCAGCAGGCAGAAGGCTTTGGAGATAAGCAAGCTGGCAAAAGTAAAGGAGAACCAGTGCTATTTACATAATCGTGCCTCTGCTTCCTGGAGAGGCGTCAAGAAACACAGGGATGGCCTCTATTGATCTTTGTTGAACTGGAATACTAAACAACATTAGAAAAGCTTATAACTTAAAGCTTTGATTAATGTTTCCTACATTAAATAAGTAGAACAGCTGTGAATTGAATTCTTTTATACGTTCTGCCAGCAGACGAAGATGGAAAAAAATCAGTTTCAAGGGAAATGAAGGTTTTGTACTGTTTAGCTGGACACTTTAAGTCATTTATATATTTAAGTAAAAGAAAATTAAAGGTATGCAGCAAAGCCAACACATATTTTTCAAGTTCTGTCTCACGTCCTTTTCATTTTCTCATCAATCATTGGCACTTTATTCTTCAGCACAGTTTTATCTAGTAATTTTGTATTTTCCCTTATTCTAGTTGAATTAGCAGCAGCCTAAACTGTTTACAGTCGAATTTTAAAACATATGAATTTGGAAATATAATTAAAAACTGAATGTTTATATCCCTTAATAAGTTACTGTTGCTTTTTTTAATACTCTTAACTGAAATGTTTAAATGATTAAAGAATAGATAACATTTTACATATACTTTTTATTATATTTCAGTTAATTTAATCCTTTCAAAAGTTGTTATATGTTCAAAAAGTTACATGAGGAGTCAGAAGATGAAAAAAGGAAACTACTGACACAAAACATATCTAATAAATTATTTGAGTTTTACATTAATATCACTTTATGGAGGTTTCAAAGTAGTGTTTTCAGCCAACTACTAATTTACGAAAATACCTTGATGAGATGAATACCCCAGTAGAACATAAAGTTTTTTCTTAGAAAGCTTTATAAATAGAAATAAGAAGATAAATCCATGATATCAAAACAAAATGCTTGTCTTTGCCGCCTTTTAAAAATGACACCATCCAAATTGCATTTCCTAATTTGTTTATTCTTTTTGAGGATTCTATGTTTTGTAATAAATTAAATTCCCTTTTGTGATAAATGTAAGTATTACCAATACACAAAAATTATGATATAAGTGTTCCTATACTTTTTTATATCATCTTTATTATAGATTCCATTCTATCCACCGTACTGATGTTTTTACTCTTGTCATTGCTTAAAAGTGAACAAGTTATATATTTTTTACATACCTGTTCTGCAGTGTAATTGTAATATAACATGAGTGGGAAATTATAGCATACTATAGAGGCAGATTCTTAAATCCATATTCTAAAATCATCTGCATGCCTCATATATTGTTTTTATTCCCTTCATGTCCACTTTTAAAATTCTTCACCTTGCAATATGCTAAAATAAAGTTTGCCAATGAAAAGAATTTCTTCCTATTAGTAATATTTTGCCTTATATTAGAATAAACGAAATAATCCAAATGAATTGACCATTGCAATAAGAAATATATTTAATTCTCTTCCAAGCAGCAAGCCAACTGGAAAAATTGATCCTGAAGAGTCTAAACTTACACAGTGAATGTAGAACTTCTTTATCCCTATCTTTTCCCACCAATATCTTCAAAGCAGAAACTTATGGTCTATGTATATGTGCATATGTACAGTTCTAGACATGGATGGGTCTCCTGCAATTTTCTTTGCATTAGAACAACAGGGAATTTTATCAAGAATGTAACATTATACTTAATTCTAGGCATTATCATCCACACTACATACCTGCAAACAAATATCAGCTAATCACTTTATGCCCCATTTCTTGAGAGAATGTCTTCCTATCCTTTAACTCTGAGCAACAATCAGAGTGCAGAAGCGGGTGTTGTCTATGCCCATGCTCATAAGATGTATCCACCTCAAGCTCCCCATACATTCCATCACTCATCTAACCACTCTTCAAACTTTTGTTGAAGAGCCAAATGGCAGTAATAACGTCTATCTCATCAAATTCATTTGGACATTGAAAAAATACTGTAGAACACTTCATTGTTCAACTGATACATTATGTCCTCTACTTTTTAAAAGCAAATTTGGAAGTCAAGAAGAAAAAGCCTTATTTTTCAAATTAGAAAATTTCATCTTAACTTACTCTCCACCTAATATACTTTACTTTTGTTGAACAGAATTCTTAGCATTTTATATCCGTCACCAAAACGCAAAATGAGCCTATGTCCTTCCAAACAGATGTACTAAAGAATTGTCATTTTTATTCATGTGTATATTCTATAATACACATGTGAGCTCTATTTAGTTGAGTATGTTTCCTTTTATTTTTTATCTTATATTTTACACCCTTTATTTGAGAAAAAGTATTAGTTTTCAGAGAATGAAGTATCTATCTTTTTAAATAATGTATTTGCTTCTCTTTAAAGTGGCTTTTTAGAAAAGATTAACTGAAAGCAAATTCTAACTTTGCATTTTCAAGCATTGTATGAAGGAACAGATAGTACTTTAAAGGGTTAATTGGAATGGGCACACTTGACTGCTGAAGGGACTGATCTAATCACTGCCATATCCAAGTGCATCTGTTCACCATGAGGTCATTCTTCTGCATGCTAATGATTTGGAAAATAAAGCGTAATGCTTGACATTATCAGAAAGGATATAAATAGTGTAAATCTTTACTTTAGGAAAGCTACTGGTTTGTTGTTTTTTTTTTTAAGGAAAGTAAAAGACAAAAATAAACAATCTCAATTTAGAATTTGGGGGGGTCCTCTAAATATTGTTTAAACTAAAAGTGAGTTCTTAAGACAAATGCAGTTGTATCTAGTGATAAATGAATTTTAAAGGATTACTACAGTAGTATCCAGTAGTATGCTGGTTATACAGTTAAAGGTATATCTAAATTTCTGATTTTTAGAACTTTGCAAAGACCTTAACTAAAAGTTTATAGAGATGAATTTTTTTTCCACCCAAAATTTATAGGGGTGATTGAATTGAACTAACTCTTTTAGGTTCTTTTTGAACTCCACTTTACTGAAGATGCCAGCAACAGCAACAGTAAAAAAAAAATTGTTTTAATCACTTCTAATGTAAGGTTTCAGAATAAAGCCAGCAGAGGGAGCACAAATCTGTTTATTTGTTGACCCTATATAAACACGTCATCTAGTTTAAGGAGAATTAGACCTATTTTCTGGGTGACAAATTGATAAATTTAAAGGAATAAGAAAGCAGTTTTCACTACTCTCAGTCAGATTATACTAGTTTTACTATAGGTCTGATTTTGAGCTAAAAGGAGGTTAATCTTAATCATTCTGTTGTTAATGTTTTTGTTAAAATTTAAAAGAATATAATAAGTAGTAGTAATAACCATAGACTTTTCTTCTCAGCTTCTAGAGTATGAATAATTGCTACTTTGATCATCTCTAATTACATCTTAGGAACACTCTTGGAATTCACATCATAGGTAAAATTTATTGTACTCAATGTACAAAAACATTCACTAATAACTATCACTACATACAGTGTCTCTAGATTTGCCAATGAAGGAAAAATGAAATAAGTTACATCTTTACTCTACTATATAAATTCTCCATATATTGTACTTGGAACTCATTGATACTTAGCCATATGGATCTTCTAAGAAACCTACACAATGAAAAGACTTTAATTTCCCGTAATATTTCAGTAATGTTTTTCTACATGCAAATTTGTCTTGTCTTGAATATATTAGCTACTTTTAACTAGGTTGTAAGTTAGTTTATTCCCAGGAGAACACAATGTCCCTCCAAAAGATCTCTTAGATTGAAAAGATAGTTGTTACAAATCTATTCCATCATTCTTCTTCCTGTTAATACTTCCAATTAGTTTTAATTGATCTTCATTTTTGTGGATTCTGTATGATGTGGACATCTGTCTTTTCAT